CCAAAATCGCGTGTCGCGAGAGAAAAGTCGCGACTCGCGAGCCTACGTCGCGACTCGCGAGAGCAAAGTCACGACTCGCGACTTTAACAGAGCCTCCGACCAGCTGCGCAACCCCACGACCCGTCAGACTCGCGACTCGCGAGTCAACTCGTGACTCGCGAGTCAACTCGTGACTCGCGACCTGTTCGACCCTGTTTTTATTTTTCTTCGTTTTTACTCGTTTTAGCTCCGTTTTTCGAGCACTATATATCAAAACGATCCCCCAGACCTAAGGAACAATCCCCAATATCGTTCCTTTCAATTTTCTCTCCAAAAACTCAATATTGTTAGGATAAAATTTCTCCGCTTTTCTTTTTTTTCTCTCATGCTTGGATTGTTGGACACAAAGATATTTGGATTGAAATCTTGCAACTCTTAATCCGATTGTAAGTTTTTCAATTCTATTTTATTATTGTTGATTGGTTTTATGTTCTTAATTCTGGTTAATATGAAATTGAATCTAAGCACGAGGTAATCCATTCACCTAGGGTTAGGGATTTTGATTCTTGTTTTGAATTATGAGGAATGTGTTTTGTTTAATCTATACGAGTTGTGTGAATTATATGGTTAGTTGATTGATCACCATTCTAACCTAGTTAATCGGCGTTTAGAACCGAGAGGGGAGACGTCGGTCGATTTAGGCTCGTATAGAGTAGACATGTTCGTAAAAGTATTGTCTATGTGTTGCTTGTTTGAATGAATTTATCGTTTATGTTTGTGCTCTTGTTACGAAGAGTTATTGAGCATAGCCCTCTAGACGTGTAGGCTTGTTTAATCTCGTAACCGAACAAATAAGCGTTCAACATAGTTTAAGACTTGATGAGATTTCCCGACCCCTAGAACTTCTTCTTTTTCTCTAGAAATTTAATTGTTATTTCTCTAAATTGTTTTTCTAGTTCTAGCTTGTTTTAGTTGATTCCCCAAATCAATCGTGATTAGAGTGTTTAGGACTTATTTTCTTTTCGTGTGTGATCAAGACCAACGCTAAATTCCGAACCGTCTTCCTCGAGAGATCGACCCGGGGAGCGAATCTTTTGATTCGATACTCGGTAAAAACATAAAATAATTTGCTACAACATGATTACAATTTGAGATGACAAATTTGGCTTGATGCTTGAGGACAAGCATCGTTTAAGTGTGGGGTGGTTTGATTAGTCGGAAAACGTGCTTGTATTAATGGTCTAATGTTGCAATTGTGCACGTTTAATTCCTCGCATTTATTCATCTTTTGACTTATTTGATATTATGATCAACTCTCATGCTTTGATGAGTTTTTGAGCGATTTTCAGTATTTATGGAGCTATTTCGAGTTGCACGGTGAAGTGTAGATGAACGGAAGATGGTCGAAGAAGAGCTTCCAGTGAGTACGGGGGTGCCCCGTACTGATCCAGCAGACCCCGTATTGCATGAAGCAGGCCCATGTACTGGGTGAAGCCCATACACTTTACGTGAGTTGGCATGAAATTTTTTACAAGTGGGCTGAAATTATAAAAACCAAAGAGGGCCTGGTGGACTTAGTCAAAGGAGTTAAAAATTGTGATTTTGAAGGACAAGCATAAGGAAAGTGATGTGGCCAGGAAGGAAAGGATATATTTTGGAGACTTTTGCTTTTGAGGGATTATTATTCCTTTTTCCACACACATTGCACTGGGGACTTGGACAGAGAAGAGGAGATAGCGAGTCACAGGCAACAGACGGCATTGCAACAGAGAAGATTTATTCTTTTCTTTTGTTTGTTTATTTTTCTCGTGTAATTAATTTTATGACTATGTTTTCGAACACTATGAGTGAGTAGTCCTTTTATTCTAGTTCCGGGGAAGTCGAACCCTACGATTGACTATGTTTTGATTGATTTATATGGTTGAGGATTTTAATATATTTTTGGAATTGCTTGTGTTATTTTGAATAATTCACCATGATGTGTTTCGTCTTGTTTAGATTGATCACCTAGATTAGGCTTTTCATATCTACATCTGAATTAGACCTGCAATTCGTAATTGTTGTTGTGTTTAATTCATAAGAGGTAACCGGAAGATGGTAACTACCAGGGATAACACGGCCTAATTAAGTGAACGAACGCGGTTGAGTTCACTAATTAGTCAAGCCTATTTTTCTAAATCGTAAAGCGGCTAATTGTATTAATCTTGAAAACGTTTTTCTGGAATGTACAAGAAGTCAAGTTTAATCGTAGAGCGTCTCGCGGTTAAATTAAAATTAAGGAAAAATTCGGGTAACAGACCGTGTCGTTGCCTAGGGCTAGTAATTTCATAAGATAGCGAGATTTGATACCAAAATTGATTAGACGAGTCAGTCGAGGTGTAGACGGAACCGTGAACTAGAATCTTTCTCTTAATTTATTTATTTTTATTTTTATTTTATTTGTTTAGATCTTATTTATTTTAGTTAGTTTAGCCATTAAATCACAATCCCCCCTCTTTTATTACTTTCATAATTTCAATTAATACGAGAAAATTCACGATTTGATTCACACTCCTTGTGGGATCGACCCTTGCTCGCCACTGCTACTAGTTAGTAGAGGTTAGTCGAGGAAAATATAAATTTTAATTTTGCCGCGTTGCGACGCGCGGTCACCCAATTTTTTGAGCCTTAGTTAGACTCTGTTTTTGTCGACCAAGGTGCCGTTTCTTGGACAAGTAATCTACATGTGTTTTTTAGTGCTCTGAGTTAGGTTTCATTGAGTTTTGGAATTATGTGATTTGGAGTTGAAATGAATTTTATATGAATTTTCAAAATTGGATGAGTATGCTGTTTTTATAAACTCGGACTGACCATAGTTCATGACTGTTTTAAATGGCCTTAACGTGCCTGAATGAAAATGTGTTCTTCATGACTAATATAGAATATGATGTAAGCTGTCTGTAGAAATTAGAATTATGCAATTTGGAGTTTTAATTGATTTTATACGATTTTTGTAAGTTGGATTTGTGCCCAGGAATTTTGAAACAGTGGCTGTGTGTATGCATGAAATGTATGCTCTGAATGGATGCCTTTAACGTGGTTATATGTAAAAATTCTCTTCATGAAATTTGTAGCTCTCCCTGTGTAGTGTCTGCAAGTTTTGACTTTGTATGATTTAGAGTTCTATAACCTGAGTTATTGTTGCTTTACTGAAGTGCTGTAAGCTGTCCATTTTCATTTCCGGACTGCAGCCATGTTCTGTGTTGTTGTTAAATGATCTATGTGGCGATATTAGAATTTGCAGCTTTATTTCTTATCTTTCTATGAGTACCGGATTCATATTTTTATCATGACTATAGCTCGAGTTATCCTCAAAATGCTGCCACCCTGTTTGAATGTTTTTTTACTGCACCCTTATGTGAATATTTGCTGATTTATCTTGTAGATAATTACCTCGTCTGATTTTAAGTTGTTCTTGAGAGTTGTAGATCTATGTCTTAGAAATCACATGCCACTGGTTTAATGTTGTTTCGATTTATGTGCTACTAGATGTGTTCATTTGAAAATTACTGCGCATATCATGTTAAATCATTAGTTTGAATCCGAAAATGGCACGCACCATCGAAATGCACGATTATATGGCCTAAGTGATTTATTTCTTAATCCATGTAGTATGCTTGGTCCTTAAATGTTTTTAGAGTTAAAAGTTAAGCAAGCCAAGATATCCACCAACCGAAAAGACTTAAACATAAAAATGTTTTCGAAGTATGCGAGCTAGTTTTCAAAGCTTATATAGAATAAGATAAGCCTTGATAAGATTCTAAGACAAGTCCCAACGAATGTAGGTAATTGAGGAGTCAGGCCTCGACCTACACCCTTTGCTTGTCAAGTGTTTTCAATCCGGAAATCCAGGTGGGTTTTATTAAAATTGTCTATGCAATAAATTGTTTAACTTACTTGTGATGATCAATGTATTTATCCACCGTTTGACCACTTCTTCGAACCCCTCTTTGTTTATCCACCGTTTATCAAAATGAAAGGAAGACTTCCTTTTCTCTCTTGGCAACCCCATATTTAACAAGAGAGCTGAGTGATCAGATGAACTCCTCAGAACATTATAGACCACTGCAATAGGATATAGTTGTAGCCAGTCCAATGAGCCAAAAGCCCTATCCAATTTTTCCTCCACTAAGTTAGGAAGAACTCTGTTGTTGCACCAGGTGTAAGTATATCCTTCAAACTTGACTTCTGACATTTCCATGGCATTAATAAAATTGTGGAAGCCTTGAAAGCTGGTCATATTTCTAGAGTTGCCACCTGCTTTTTCATTATGTGACATCAGATCATTCCAGTCCCCAATTGAGAACCAAGAGTCTATGAGCATGTCTGCCCATTGAGCTTCTCTTGTCACTCTGCAGGGGCTAAAATAGACAAAAACTCCCCATTGGGGATTAGCTGAAGGCAATTGAAAATTAACAACTATATAGAAATCCTTACACTGAATTTGATGAACAAGTACATTAGAATCCCAACACAAAACTAACCCTCCACTAAGACCTACTGAATCCACTATATCCAACCTACTATCATAACCCGATTTTTTACAAACAGACTTTACAAAAGTATTTTGTTTTTTTGGTTTTAAATAAAAATAGAAAATTTGGGTGGTGAGTTCTCAATAACTCTCTGATTTGGAAATTGTAGAGGGCTCATCCAGCGCTCTATAATTCCACACCATAGTTAACATTGGTCATGGTGGTGCCATTCCAGGCTGGCAACCCTCACCTTTTTGGACTGAGTTATGAGTTTTTTAGAGTGAACCTGATTTGTAGTAGCAACTTCCTTTAACTTTTCATCTGCCTCATTATCAACTCTGACTCTCTTGCCCCTTACTAGTTGGTCAACAGAGGAGGCTCTGAATCTCTCTGCAGTCTGCCTGTTTTGTTGCCCACTCTTTTCCATGTCTTAAGATTTTGAGTTTGGCAGTCTTGGTAAGTTTCTGGCAGTAAATCTGAAAGCTGGGATGGGGATTCATTCTGTACCTCCATCACTGAGGATTCCACTAGCTGGAGATTATTTTCCACCATTTCTTCTCCCGGGGTTGGTACCTTGTTAGCTGAGACAAATGATGTGGCAACTATTGACTTTGCTGGAGAAGGGATGTCCTCTTGACTCTGAATTAGTTGCTGATTGTTATCAGGTTGGCTTGATGAAGCTCCCTATGCAGTAGCGTTCTCAGCCATTGAAGGAGCCTCTGTAATGCCCCGTTTAATTATCGAATATTGAGAATTATTTATTATTATTATTATTTATCTTTATTTATTGTTATTATTATTGAATACTAAATATTATTAAATGTCTAATATGATTTATTTGTCAAATTGCGATTAAATGTCTAATTGTCTAAATATTATTTAATTGCCAATTTCAATTTAATGCCTAATTGTCTAAGTGTTATTATTTGATTAAAATGTTTGAATTTGTATTATTATTAATATTATTATTTTTGTGTGTTATATATATAGATAATATCCAGTTTATTTATTTTATTGTGCGATGTAATTTTCGAGCCATTTCAACCTGAACCTCGAATATTATTTTCGGCCCATTATTGCTAATTTTCCGGCCCAACTGGAATTAATTATCTCGGTTTTTGGAGTTAGTTTCTCGGCCCAATTAGGTTTATTTATTTTGGCCCGTGTGAATGTTAATGCATATTAGACCCACTAGTACGTACCCCGTGCGATGCACGGAAGGAAGATATTAAATAAGTTATTTTCACAGGCTCTATATCATTTATTGTCCACCTCTTTTAATCAGCGTTAAAATGTAGAAAACAATAGGATTATAATCTATTTTTCACCTTTTTTACAATAGGATTATAATATATTTTCCACCTCTTTTAATCAACGTTGTTTTTTTAGGCAGAACATATTGAGCATGTTAGAGATAACTTGTAAAATAATTAATATATTATCTCACTACCACATTTATAATTTATAATAATATAGATTTGATATTTGTATATATATTTATTCATCGATATAAGAGAAAATAATTGTTTTAGGACATCTCCAATTGTAAAGGGATTGCTCTATTTCATTGCCACCTAGCTCCAAAAATCCAATGTGGCATTTAAAAAATGTAGAAGTCTTTTTAGATGTAAAAAATATATATATAATTATTGCAGATATTAATAAAATTGTTTAAGGAAATAATATTTTTGATCATATCTAATTTGATCTTATTTGAAAAAATGTATATGGAAACATTATTGCATATATTTAAAATATTTCCAAAAAAGGGTATGCCTTAATATATATATATATATATATATATTTATTAATATAAATTTTTTGCTGCTATTTTTAATAAAGGGTTATTCTTATTATATATATATATTTCTATATATATATATATATATAAATTTATACTAATATAAATTTTTTATTCTCTTTTAAAGTGGTGGCGAAATAAATCGGATATGAAAAGTGGCTCTTTCAATTTCATTCCGAAAATGAAGTTTTAATTCAAATCTTTCATATGAATCAAAATGATTCTTTCAACAGGTTAATAAATCTACGCGGCTTTATCTACCTAAAAAACAGGAAAAATATAAACAGATCGTTACAGAACAATTAATGCTCCAATTTATAATTGTAAAAAAAATACTATATTTAGTAAATATTTAATGATTATGGCGGGAAAAAGTTTATAAAATTGATAAATATTAATTCTTATTATATATATATAGATATAGATGGGGGCTTTTATCTAATTTTTATTAATTAAATAATGTTGTCATGTAATATAATTAATTAATGTGTTATTAAAATATGTGTGGAAAGGACAATGTGTGAAAAGGACAGAAAGTTGCTGTTTATGGTAATCATTTAATGCTGACCGGATTTTGTGGATTGGTTGACCTACTATTTTTAAAAAAGGTTAATTCTTATTATATATATATAGATATAGATTTGGGATAAAAACTCAACCCACTATTTGAAGCACAAATGACCCAACCCTATCTTTTTCTCTTTCAAACGCCGTCATCCCCTTCACCCTCATTTTTTTTCTCAATCTCTCTTCTATGTTTAATCGATTGCCCTCATTCTCCAAATCTGTCCGGTGACCACCATCCGTCAACGCCGCCGCAAGCACTCCAGAGCAGCAGCAAACCGCCGACGTGCCAGACACCGACAGACGCACCACGCGAGCAGCTGCTTCAGCCCGTTCACGAAGCGACGTTGAGTTTTCGGCTAACTCGACCAACATCCGACGAGCTAAGCCTCTGGCGACTTCGGGCCTCAATTTTCCGTCGGGCTGCGACTGATCGCGAGCCCCGACCCTTGTCCGACAATTTTGAGCTCTCGTCGACCGAGCTCCGTTCAGACCCGTCGCGAGCTCATCTCCTCGCCGGCGTCTCACAGCGGCCATTCTTGTTCAATCGCGAGTAGTCGGCGTTCCTGCCGGAGAAGAGAGCACGAAGCCGGAAGTCGGGTTCTTCAACGGCCGGCGAACCTCCACAACCACGCGCCCGTTTGCAGCGGCACCCCGTCGGCCTTCGTTTAGTGGCCCGAACAGTAGCAGCAGCCCTTTTGGGCCCGTGAGAGAGTAGCGGCAACCGTCCGAGGCTTCAATCAAGCAGTCGGGGTCCTCGAGCATTGACATCGATCAATAGTAGCCCCGTTTCTGTTCAGCGAGCACCAATAAGGGGCTATTTCAGCCACCGTCGAGCGACCCTCCTACCAGGAGTTCACACGAGCAGCCCCTTTCAGCCCCGGTCGTGTTCGTCGGGCAACTTGTAAGTTCCGTTCCCGTCGGGCTGCGGCAATGTTGAGAGCCTCTAGCCTAACCCGAGCTTCTTTCTTTTGTCAGCCCTGTTTTAAATTCGTGACAGCAGGTATATGGCTGAGCTTTTGCTACCCTTAAAATGGCCAAGAATATTTGATTATGTGCTTGATATGATGTGCTATGGTTATGCCCGGTTGGCCGTGTGATTGTCCTGTGATTGTTGAATGAGTCATGTATGTTGGTTGTGCCTCATTTTGTGTTAAATTGTTCATGAGAAAGAGAAAAGGGAGGAACTGCCTGTTGTATATTTTAGTTAGCTGTGTTTAATATGTGTAACTAAGCTTTCTTTATATGTTAGCATGTTGTGAGAATTTTAAATTAGTTCATATGGCCCTTGAGTAATAGCTCGAACATGAAGATGAAAGAGGTCAAATGATATACTTAATTGCTGAGCCTCTGTTATATGTTTAAGCTGTTGGAAATGTGCGTAAAGGACATAATTTTAATCAGTTTGTTTATTTGGCCTAAGCGCATGTGGTGTGATTGAGAAAAAGGAAAAGAAAATGAGGCATGTATGACTGATATTGTGACCGTGCTGTTACTCCTTGTTTTACTGTTATAATTATGCGAATTGTTATTGCTGTTATTTGTGTGTATTAGTGTCTAGTTACAGAGGTTATACCTCAATGTTGTGCCTTTTGATTTTTGCCTTTGTTAAAAGAAAAAAATTGAGAAAGGCTTGTGTGTGTTTTAACCTTGTGTAATATTGAGCTCGTTATGCCTTTTTCCGTATGATTATTTGCTATTATCATGCTTAAAGTGATCATCTACAAAGCCTAAGTTCAGTTATAAAGCCTTTAAGTTGTTTTGTGAATTTTGGGATGGGATAAAATAAAAGGAACGTTTGAAATGCATGTAATTGTGTGGTTGATTTTTGCCATGGGTGAGAATGTTTTATTTGCCGAGTCTATCATGTGCTTATGTGCTATTTATTATGCTTTTGGTGTCTTAATTCATAGTTAAAGTTATACACCCTTTTAATTGTCCTGGAAATTGAGAAGAAGAAAGGGGAGTAAGAATGCATAATTGTTTGATCTTCTGCTTTGGTGTATTTTTTTTTAAGTAAGAGTAAAGAGAAAAGAGTTAGAAATTTATGTGCTTTTAGTAGTCTTAATTGTCGTTGCTTTACCTTACTGGTCCATGCTTGTTAGTCGTCGCCTTATTAATAAGATAAATATTATTAACTGTAGATTAACGAGGAGTCAAGCCCTCTGCCTATCTTATGCTGATTATTATGTGATTGACTACCTCGTCTATCAGGTGGGTTTTATTTGAAAAGTTTCTATGCATTAATTAATTGTTATTGTTGTGGTATGATCAAAGTATGCATGTGAACCATGTAGCCTTCGATGTGAGCTATATTGGCCGTCGAACGGTTATCCCCGTAGCTATAGAACGTACCAGATGGGGTGTCTCCTTTATTTATGTATGGCAGTCAGGGCGTGAGCCTTGGCTGGTGATCCTCGATGTAAGTCCGATGGGATGTTCCGGGCATTCGTGGTGGATTTACTCCCACTGTCTGGGCATCGAATGTAAGGCCCACAGGGGTTTTCGATACGTGTATCAGCAGTGGTCTATTGGTATAGGTGTGCACATGAGAGTTGACTCTGGGAAGAAGATGGGATATTAATTGATTTGTGTTCATACTGCGATCATACATGCCTTATTTTATAAAATTTAATATTAATTATCGCATAGTGGTGAGCACCTCGATTTCCTTTTGTGCTCATCCGCACCTGCTCTTCATTGATGCAGGTTAGTAATTGCGGGCACGACAGAGGGAGGCGAGTGGTGGTCATGTTATCGTTTATTTCCCCTGCATTAAATTGCTTATTATGATTTATGCATTCCTGACTTATGTTGAGTACTGGATTATCGATAGGGAGTGTACTCCCTAGTATTTATGGATTTGGTGAACCCGTTTTTGAGTGTTGATGTCACGAACCCAGTTTGGTGTTGACTAATATGAGTATTGAACCCGGTTGGGTGTTGACTATTCATGAATTTTGAACTCGTTGGGAATTGTATATGTGAGATTGTTGGAATTGTTTTTGTAAAATGAGTAGCGCCTCAAGTGTTTTGAAATAAATTTTGAAAAATTTATTCTGAATTTCGGCAAATAAAAGTGGGGCGTTACAGCCTCCCTTGGAGGAGATGATCTTGAGCCAGAGACATTACCAGGTGCCCATCTTTGCCCATCCGCTGCTTTCAGCCAATCACCATATTGCCCTTCTTTCATAGAGTTATTTACTACATCTTCCATCTTCTTAGGACACCCACGGTCCAAATGACCTATCTTTCCACAATAATGGCAAAGGTTCATGAGCTTTTCATACTTAAACCTTACATTGTCAATCTGATCACCCAATCGAATATTGAGGAATCTAGGAATTGGCTCCTCAAGATTCAGAGTTACCAGTAATCGCAGGAGCTTTCCCCTATGGTTACCTAAAGTAGCAATTGTAACATTCTTGAGGCTCTTCAATACTTTACCTATCTTGAAACCACTTCAGAACTTAGCCAGTTGAGAGGGATATTGTGCACCTGAACCCATAAGTTATGTTCCTGAAAACTTGGGTGTTTTGCTGGAGATTCCACTAGTCCATTAACTGAGAATTAGGTACTGGTTATTCAAGCTCCAATTGGTCCCAACCGCCACTTTTTTCATATCTTCTCGGTTTTGGACTATGAATTGGAAATAGTTTGGGTTGAGCTCTTTCACTTCCATAGGCTGACTGAGCTTCCATATCTGGGACATTGCACGCCTAATTCCAATCCAGCTCTTTGGCCGATCTCCAATTACTTTACCAAAAAGGCTTCTCTGACATTCATCGTCTTTGATGCGGATATCATCTTCAGCAATGTCTACAATTATTCCTAAGTTATTGTAAACAATTTGTAGGAATAGATAAGTGGTGTCAATTGATGCGGACAGTTTGTAGCAATGTCCACATTCATCGTCACTGATGCAATATTGACTTAATAATATTCAATTGCAATAATGTAAACAGTTTGTAGGAATAGATAAGGAGTGTCAATTATTCCTAAGTTACTGTAAAAATCCGGCCCAAGCGAGCCATTTCCTTGGCCCAATAAGCCTTTCTCAAAGCCCTAATATCTCCCCCACTTATATACCCTTCTTCCCATCAATCGCCGCAATTTCACATCTCTCTCGCCCGATTTTCTTATCCATCTCCCTCCTCCAAATCGCTGCCGCGATCTCACGTCGAGTTCCGTCTGAAGCCTGACCGTCGCTTCCCGTTAACCTCCTCTCGCAGGCGTTCCACGCAACCACCCGCAAGAGGCATTGCAGTAGTCGAAGCAACCGCCGAACCTCTGTCCACGAGCAGTCTCGCCGGCGACTGTTCTCCACCCGTCGTCGCCGTTGCGAATTCGACGCCACGCCCTCGACCGGCGACCTATTATCCCTGTCCGGTGACTCGTTTAACCATGTTCTGTTCAGTCCCGACGGACCCGACTAGCAGGCTGGAATTGCGACCACCGTGAACTGCCGAGCCCCTTCGCCGGCGTCCTCCAGCAGTCCGTCGACTAGCCATCACCAGCAGGCCGAGCTCTGTCCGCCGGCGTCTCCTCTAAGCAAGCAGCCGCTTTATTTTCCATCGAGCAGCCCTCATCGCCGGTATCCACGTCTGCGAGCCCTCCTCGCCGCCAATCCCAGCCACCGTCGAGACGTGACCAGCCGCCGTCGCGTGCCTCTATTTCGCGAGCAACTCGCCGGTGTCCAAGCAACAATTCGGTCAGCCGTCGTGAGCTTTCGAGCAGCGAAGAGCTCCGTCGGTGACCCGTCTGCGAAGGCCGAACTAGCGAGGCCCCATCTGTATTCGTTCGGCCACGGAGAGTCGGGGTCTTGAACCGGGCTGAGACGGGCTGTCCGTGATCTGCCCGCTTGTTCCGAGCGGCAACCGGGAGCTTGAGCAGTGGCAGTCCAGCCGCTTTCGAGGACGTGTGGGTGTCCGGGCTGCAGCGAACCGGGCCCCTTTTTCTCAGAACCCTGTCTTATACTTATTTTTGACTTGGAGTTATGGTATTTGTGTGCTCAATTTTCAGTGAATTAGCATGCTGGAGTTTAGTTAAAAGTTTAAATGAGAGATGCTTGAACTATGTGGTTCTATGTTTTGTTTATTGTGTTATGTGGTGACCATGCGGATTGTTCATGTTTTATTTTTGTGCTGGAAGTTGTTTTTGGGGTTCAAATTTTCAGCCTTAGTTTTGATTAAATGCTTAGGGTAAATTTCAAAAAGGAAAAGAGGCACGTTGGGTTTTTTTTTTGGCCTTGATTGCTATGCCTTTGCTGAGGCTTATTGATGTATTGATCGTGCTGAGATTGAATTATTTCAGAGCCTTATGGTCAGTTCCAAATGCCTTATTATGTGCTAGTGTTTTGAGGAATCTAGAGGAGGAATGTGTGTTGTATTCGTGCCTTAAATTGCTATGTCTTTCTGTGCATTTTTTTCTTTGGTTGCTGTAATGTGAAATATATGCCGAGCCAGTTGGTGAGTATATTGCTGAAGTGAAGTTTTCTTTTAAGCATTTTATATCCCAGTTTATTGAAAAAAAATGGCAAGTGTTTGAGAAAGAAATGAGATATGTGTTGTTTGTTATGTGTATGAATATTCTTCCAGTTATGTGCATGATAATGGTTTTAACCTTCGGTTGTTGTGGTTTAAAGAATTAAGGTTTAGCTGAGTGGATGATGATTCATAAGATATTTTTTTTAGAGCAATGTACCTCAATTATTCATAGCATTCATTTTAGTGTTTAAACCTTAATTTTTTTTATGATGTGAAAATGAGAAAGGTATAAGTTATGTTATGTGATTTATTTTGAGCCTAGGCTTTATGTTTAGCATGCTGATATATATGCATTGGTGAGTTTATATGCTAATTCATGTACTTTACTCGCTTCTAATTGCCTTAATTGCCTTGTTTCTCTTATTTGCTTTATGTGTTTAATTTTCCTTGCTTGTCTTTGCTTGTTTGCCTGTCCGCCCTTAGTAATAAAATGTCCGCCCTTAGTAATAAAATAAATATTTTAATTGTAGATTAAGAGGAGTCGAGTTCTCGCCCTTGTTTGAACGTGCATTCACTTTCATCCCATCAGGCCTATCAGACGACCGAAACCGAGGCTGAAACCCCATCAGGCCCGAGTAACCGAACCATATTTCGGTCTGTGTCCTCTAAGTCCCGACGATAAGGTAGATGGCTGAACTCTTATGGCTTTTTATTGGCTGAGTTTATTGAGTTTAGAATCTTAGTTGTTGTGTTGATTAGAGGAGAGGAAATCATGTATGTTATGTGTTTTGCCTTGTTTATATTTGAGCATGACCGAGCCCCTATTTGTTGCTGAGACTTTCAGTTTTTAAAGTTAGGCATGCTTAGGCTTAGTAATGTTTGAAGAAGGAAATGAGTTGAATCTCATAAGTATCTATGCCTTAGGTGTATGACTTTTTGCTGCATTGAGGTGTTGTCTTTAGCAGGCTGTAGATGGGGTATTTTCAGAGCTTCAGCCTCAGTTTAATTGCCCTTATATGTTATGATTTCGAGCATGAGAAAAAGAGATGTTATAGGGCATGATATGTTATGATTTTTTACCTCAATTTTTATGTTTTGATGTTGATGTATGGTGACTGCTAGCATGCTGTTACATGCTCATTTTAGGGCCTTTAATCTCTTTTATTATGAGGCTTTGAGTATGTCTAAATGTTCAAGGAAAAGAGAAGAAAAACTAAGTCAGATTGAGACATGAATATATGTTGTTTGGATCATTGTTGAATGCCTATTTGCTGAGTCCTTCGGTGGGATTAAATTTCTTTTATATGTTCATTTTTGTGCCTAATTATCGATTTTTAAAACTTTGGCATGTGTGGTTGGAATGTTAGAGAAAAGGAGAAAGAAGAAAGACATGCTTTATTTAGAAGTTTATGTGTTTTTTTTATCTGCTTAATTGTTTTGAGTGATTTATGTGCCCTAATCTGCTATGTGTGCCTTACGTGGTTTAATTGTTGTTCTGCTTTTTCAATCAAAACCCTAATAATAAGACTTAATAATTAAAATTGTAGATTAAGAGGAGTCGAGCCCTCGCCCTTGTTTGCACGTGTATGCACCATCATCCTCTGCAGTATCAGGTGGGTGGGTCAGGTGGGTGTTGAACTTTGATGATGAATTTGGGATTTTTATTATGAATTGGATAAATCATCATGTTGGGATTATTATTATGATGGAATAATTATTAAAACATGTTAATTGTTGGCATGAGATGATTATCAGGTTGGATGTCATTCCCCGTTGGTTAAGTGTTGATTAACTGTTGTCTGGATATTTGAGTAGCGGCCCGTTAAATAAATCAGTAAATTGTTTTTTCGTAAATTAACTCTGATTTTTAGAAAAATAATCGGTATTTTCTCTTAGAAATAACGGGGCGTTACAGTAATATTTACCTCGGTATAACGTGTGAATTTAGTTGATACTTTACTATGTTTTTTGGTCTGGTACCCGAGCAAAGAATGGTTAGAGGAATAAGTGGACGTGGATTGTGCGTTATGCCGAATCAAATAATTAATTAGGTACGACAAATATGTGAGTGTTCAACTTGAATCCTAATAATACATGTTTTCTATTGAACATTGAATATTGAGCACTTGCTTGCTTCGTATGTGATATGGGGTGTTTGTACTTGTAGCACTAGGAAAAGAAAAGAAAGAATGTTGGACGTTTAGAATTAGATAAAACTAGGTTATTTGTTTGGTTTAAACGACACTGGGAAGAGGCATCACTTAAAATTAGATAATCTTACTACGTTGAATAAGTTATATTTGTTAACTTTTAAATTTTGTTGTTCATCTGGTAGACTAAATCAATGAAAACAAAAGGGTTCAATTTCAGTACAATAGAGCTGGAAATTAAAGAAGTTGTGTACTTCTTTCAGACTAAAACCCTCAATTTCAGCTTTATTTCATATCTATACTTATATTAAAGGAGTCTTATTTACCAAATTTAGTAGCTAGAAAAATCAACAGCATTTATTGCTATTACTGTTTTCGTATTATACAGTTTTTATTTAATACTCCTCCTATTTATAATAAGTGTCGTTTTGGAAAGTTGCACACTAAATTAAGAATAATTTTTTTGTCAATAATAACCCTCATTAATGAAGATAGAGATTGATGTTTTAAAAAAAAGATGAAGAGAATATGAAAAGACGTGTATTTATTAACTAAATGAGGGTAATAATGAAAAAATATGTACAAAATATCCAATACGACATTTATTTTGGTTAATAATTGATAAAGCCAAAATGACATTTAAAAAGAATAGGAGGTAGTATTTGTTTTTCTATTACGATTTTTGAAAACAGATATGGTCAAATTTCTCATCATTAATTACTTTCCATTAATTACAATTTATTTATTTATTATTTTCTTAGCAAAAACGGACCAACATTAATTGATTTCCTTAAAATGTGGAAGTTGTTGCTTTATTTTTGTACAGAAAATCGGGCTTCATTATAGAAATTTGTTCAATTACACAATGAATTTTTTATGATATAATTATTTTTTATAGGAATTTTTTTTTTAACAGAAAAATATGGCATTTCAATAAGATTTTCGATTTTTTAAGACTGATCGTTATCATGCTATGAAATTGAACATTCCAATATACCGTGATGTATACATCAGTTAATAGAAATATAGAATCCTCATATTTATATATATATATGTAATTTTTCTATTACCAAATTTAATTGATAATTGTTGTGTTATGGGTTTTTTCATAATTGTTACTTGGTTGTTGTGATATTTAGTTCGCAAAAATTCTAATCTATATATATAATAAGAATAATCATTACAATGCAAATTAGAAAAATATTAATATTAGAAGAGATTGAGTTCATGGCTTTTCTTAAATCAAAGTTGTTTAATTAGTATACAAAATTAAATTCTAAAAAAATATGTGTATATTTTGTACATAATTTATACACTATTTAATTTTAAATTTATTTACATATTTTAAATTGATTACTTATATAAATAATACCAACGTGCATTAAATATATTTCAGTACATAAAATAAAAAGAACAAGAAGACGTGTAACCTGTATAACTTTATAAATAATAATGACATTATATGGCAACAGAATTTAATAATTAACTATTATATAGTGAATAAGAATAAGTAAAATTGTTATTTTCTCTTATGTCAAGGAATAAATATATATAATAAAATGAAATTTATATTAGTATAAATGTGTTAGTGAGATAATATATTAATTATTTTACAAGTTAGCCCTAACATGCTCACGTTTAATGTTCTGACTAATAAAACAACGCTGATTAAAACATGTGAAAAATAGATTACAACCCTATTTTTTTAGACTTAACGGTGATTAAAAGAGGTGGAAAATAGATAACTCTTTTCATACTTAAACGAGACTTAACGGTGATTAAAATAGGTGAAAAATGGATAATAACCCTTCTCAGACCTAAACGGATAGAGCCTGTGAAAATAATTCATTTAATATCTCTCCCGGCACGGGCTACGTACTAGTTGCCTTCAAGTGAAAATATATTTGAAAAATTAGGACCCCATTCAATGTTTTTCTCGGAATAAGTTGGAAGAGGAGATTAGATATCCAAGTAAGTGACTGCTTGGATGATATCAATGTTTTCCCCTTCAGTTGAAAATTCTGCCTCATAAATTAGAAGATTAGAAGGAGCAACTTATAGCCAATGTTGAATTTAAAACAATCAACAGGTTACAACATGGAGTCAATGTTGAACGTAAAATTAAATTAAATTATACTCCCCTCCTAGTGATTTACCTAGGTTTTTTAGTTGGTTTCTATTACATATTATTTTTTTTCCCCTTACCTTTAGTTTCATGGATAAAACACTGATTTTTAGTTTCATGAATAAAAGACTTCATCGGCCAATGGTACGCTAGGTACATATTTTAAAAATAGTTCATATGTCCATCTCTTTTTGCCCCAATTCCCCCTTATTATTGCAAGACCCAATCATTAATTGTTTACTTGACAAGTCTTTGTGCTATCGATGTTCATAGTTGGTCTTTAAATTCTACCCCCTCCCTCCTGACCTTGGCCTTGGCTGGGGTCCTAATGGAGCCAGGTTTCCAATGATATCAAGAATATTGAATATGTAAATATTGCACATGATGTGAAACGTTTAATTAGAGGAAGTGATCATTTTTATGGTAAAACATATTTTATGTGCCTTATAATTCCACCTCGTAGGCCTCATTTATATTTTGTTTAGTCACTAAGTGAAGGCCTGTGTAGAAAAGAAAAAAGAGTACGCACAAAAAAGTTGATAGGAAAAAGAGCCCCCTTCTTTTTCTCATTCTTTTTCTCAAAACTAAAGAGAGGAGTGATATATTTTTGTCCCCTTTTAATATGAACGTTTAAAATTATATGTGAAACACTTCCTAATTCTCCACTACCAGCCAGGATGACAATCTATCACTGTGGCTAGCGGTTCAACACTCCCCTAATTTTTTTGCTTCCGCCTTATATCATGTGCAACTATGTTTGTATTAACATCTTTTCATTATTGTAAAAATGTTTATTACAACAATACAAAATATAAAATCAATGAAACCAATGAAGAAAGGTTTAGCTAACAACAATTTGAATTTGTCAAACTATATTTTCAATAAAGATTTATGTAACTGTTTTAGCCCAGAAAAAAAAAAAAAGAGTTAGACTAATCAAGAAATTGTGAAATCTTTAGTATGTTGCAAAGAAAATTATTATAGAGTTTTTGTATACCAACAAAACGTTACAAGATTTACATGAATTAATTAGTTCGTAAGAATGGATAAAAATATTGTCAAGTTCCTAATTTTGCATTTTGATAGATTTTCAAGCATAATAATATTTCCAAACATAATTTAAATGAGAAAGGACTGAAAGAGATAAGGAAATTTAAATAATGAAGTTTTTTAAAAAATGAAAAAGTACTGTTTTGTCATTTTACATACTTTGGTGCATATCTGAATGTTATACCCTGCAAAAGGGCCATTAAAATTGATGGAATTGACGAAATTGGCTTGAAATCAGAACTTTAAGGAAATTTTTGACTTTTGGGGTTTTCCATGGTTAAATTGGGAGGTGTTAGAAATTTTGGACTAAAATGTGCATTTTCTAGAAAGCCTTATATGTCTTACTTCCTTTGCCCTTTTTTATAAAATCCATTTTTCTCATAACGGGAAGATTTTCATTGTGTTGCCTGCAGCCACTGCCATTTCTTTAGTAAGTAGAAAGCCCTGATTTTCTTGCCCCCATTCCCTTCTCTTGAGAGCCCCATTTCTCTGTAATTTGAAACTTCATACCCTTGATTTCCTTCTCAGTAAGAAGCCCTTCTTAATAAGAAAAGAACCATGATTGTTTGTCTGGAATGATTGTTTGTTTGCAGGAATTGAATTACAGGCATACTATTATGTTGGTTTATTTAACCTTTGAATCTGTCATATGTTGATTGTGGTTGAGGCTTTTTGTATCTCTTTTGTCAGAGGGGCTCTGATACATTAGCCATATTTGTTAATACTGCTGGTAAAACTTTATATGTGTTAAAATGACTTTATGGCTATGATCAGCAGATGGATTTGGCATAATAGTCAGGAAACAGTTACCTTTTGCAAATCATATAGTACTTGTTACCATGATGACCATCTCCTTCGCTTTTGGGGCTTTCCAGAACACTTAATAACACAATTTTTTTGTTTGTAACTTATTATGAATATTGGAGATTTTTTTTTGCCAGTATGATTTGAATAATCTATTGTATCTGTTGTTTGTTGCTTGCCAACAATTTGACTCACCTGATTTAGTTAAGGTTTCAGTTTCTCTGTTTTGACTTCTCCTATAAGATATCTTTTGTGTTATTATCAGTGATCAAGCCTTCCTGCAAGAGTGAGCTTCCTTCTGGTGTGGACATTGTATGGTTTGAGTTCAGAGGATTATCTCTTAAATTTGCTTATATTTAGTTTGTCAGATTAGGACAACCAAGGTCATTGCTAACTTGTATTCTCTTGCAGGAAGGCTTGATCACTGATAATAACACGAAAGATATCTTAAATTTGCTTATATTTAGTTTGTCAGATTAGGACAACCAAGGTCATTGCTAGCTTGTATTCTCAAAAGGAACTGGTCAAGTTTGATTACCAATATTAATTGCCAAGTCAACTCAGTAAGAGCAGGGTCTAGCATCATTTATTGCTGAGGTTCTTCGTTCATATCATTTTTAATTCGTAGACTTAATTGCACAAATTGTTAACCATTTTGGTTTGTCTCTCCTTGTTGCCTGTGAGCTATATATACTTTATATGGTGTGCTCTACTATTGAAATGGTGACTTGTGCTCATGAAGTTAAGCTCAGCATATGGTGCCTATGTATTATGCATTTGGTGTATCTGATCCTCAGATTATGTTAAAAACTTTTCTTGACGATGTCATCTTGTATCTCTATCTGAACTAAAACTGAGGTGTTTATTCAGGCATACACCGAAAGGGGTCCTTTATCTTAACTAATGTCCTGAACTGAAACTAACAGTCACATGGTTATTGCTATGTATCTTTTTTAATTGGTTAAAGATTATTTATTTTGTTGGTTTCGATGACTATAGTTCAGATCTTATAAATGGACCATTTCAATGTGCTGATAAGTTAATTTGACTCTTCATTAATTTGTTGAAAGAAGTTAGGTATAATCNCCACCTGATTATTTCTTGAAATTTTGGTCATGAATAACACGGTGCGACTTTTTCTTGTTTAGCATATTTCCTACTCAAATTGTAAGGCAAGTGGTCAACCATGGAAGGTAACTATAGGCTAAGTTCCCAGCTCCCATGTGAGAAAGTATGTTTTCATCTCTAAGCCCTGACTAATTTACTATTCCTTATCTGCTACTGCACATTACGCGACAGGGTGAAAGTTATTATTCAGAACAAAAAGTTATTGCGTAATTACCATCAAATAGATTCACTAAGCAAAAACCTATTCATAATTATCACAGGCCACCAAACTGAGAGGGAAATTAGACTTAAATAGATAAATGATACTTAACATTTTTGAAAGACTTTAGTTTAATGATAGAGCCAAAATGACTACAAATGTTAAAAGTACATATGAAATTAATTAAATCTATCATTCAATACCAAATCTTTTCTAAAATAAAGGTTCATGTACCAAACTGAAACAGTTCTTCCATCACCATCTTCACAAGAAGCAAAACCCCCTTAACCATTTTTCCCTTTCCATTAAGCAAAATTGCATATAAACAAATGTTAGAAATCCTCATAACAATATTATTTTATTCATACGCAAGCGTAAAGTTCCCATAATGAATCCCAAACTATAAGTAAAACTATAAAGAGAAATACAAATGACAAGAAACAACAATGCAGGAAATAGAACAATCTTTTCAGTATTCATAATATTAGTACAATAAATCTTCAAAAATGTATCTCTGCTAAATCAAAACAATTAAAGCAAAGTTTCGTATACATAATAGAAGATCAGAGAAAACAGAAAATATAAGAGACGCACCATCACAAAGATACGTAGACACCACCCCATCAGTTCTAAAGTGCAACACTGATGTTAAGATTCTCAGAAGGAAATTATGGTAGCCAAGGATAAGGATAAGAGTAAGAACGAAATACAAGAAATAGTCGGAAATATAATCAAATGTTGTAAAGAAAGCAAAACAACACGAGATCAATTTTGATTGAGAAGAATAAAAGACGTTTTTACAGGCTACAAAATATTTAAAAATTACTAGCATATACATACCTATGGACCGGGAATATACGAGACAATCTCTCCATCAAGCTGTTGATGAGGTTTTTCAAGTCGTACACGGTTTCATTTAAACGATAGATATTGGTACTTTCTCCGTGGGGAAGGTACTCATTAACACCATCTTCCCCCACGTACTGAACTGCAAAGAACATAAGGAAGAGTTTTAAATCATAATCATTGAAAAATCTCAAATACAAAAATAAAGGGAGGACTGTGATCGTACAAGCAACATGACCACCACAACCAGCATGTTGAGAAGCAACGACACAAACCACATTACGAAGAAGCATGACACCTTCGGGTATTGAAAGCAAACAAAAGCGCCGAACAAATTGATCAATAAACACATAAATAACCTCTTTCTTGACACTGACACCCATGACTTCATAGTCATATTCAAAATCGTCAATAAACATATACTTGTCTTTCTCATTTCCAATAACCGCTACTCCAAAAATTCCATGAGTTCCATTAGAGACAATGTAGAAAGAGGTACCGTAATGATCTTCCAAACTATCAAAATATTTTCCAACATCTCTTGCGTCAGAGAAGAGCTAAAAAAACCACAATATATTTTAAATAAAAATATTTCACAAACATTACACATTCATGGAAAAATAAAAGACTTGAAATCTGAAGATAATTACAATACAAAAATTCATTACAAAAACACAACTTTCATACATGAGCATTCTTTGCCAAAAGAATATGGATAGCGTCAGTTTGCTTAGATATTCCACAACCTGCCACATATATGTTTTTACCTGGAATCTGTCTTATTTTCTTAACGTCGTCACGGACTGAAAAAATAAAATGAGCAGTTATTTTCTCAACGTTGTCACGGGCTAAAAAAATAAAATGAGCAGAGAAAAATACTAAACAAATTCAAAAGCCACATTGAGCAAAAATGCAAACATGATGTTAACAGTGAACTTACCAACGTATCTCTCTGATAATTGATGACCTCTTCTTGAATCACTAGCAAATAAAAAACAACCTTCTAATACGCAATGACAGTTCTATGGCTTCTGAAACAATTTCATTAGAAATTTGACAGAGGGCACAAATAACATTTAATATTTTAAAATAAACCAACCAAACATCTACAAACTTCTTCTGACTGTAATCACAAATAATTATAAGATTAGAAGTAGAGTGTACAAACATGTATTCATTCATCAAAATTAAACTCATTCACCCATGCTAAATTTTATGAAAAATCAATTTTCATAATTATCAATGGATGAATGAGTTGTACTTTGATGAATGAATACAGCTGTTGATGCTTAACTTGGACATGTTTGTGCATTCTACTTCTAATCTTATAATTATTTGTGATTACACTCTGAAGAAGTTTGTAGATGTTTGTTTGGTTTATTTAAAAATATTGAGTGTTATTATACTGTAAGTTCCACTGTTTTCTGTCAAATTTATAATGAAATTGTTTCAGAAGCCATGGAACTGTTATTGCGTATTTGAAGGTGCAATGAAGTTTTTTACTTGCTAGTGATTCAAGAAGAGGTTATCAATTAGGAGAGAAATACGTTGTTGGTAAGTTCACTGTTAACATAAACATGGTTGCTTTTTTGCTCAATGTCGCTTTTGAATTTGTTTAATCGTTTTCTCCTCATCTTTTTTGCTTGTGACAACGTTGAGAAAATAACCTTTTCTCTACTCATTTTATTTTTTCAGCCCGTGACGACGTTGAGAAAATAAGACAGATTCAGGGTAAAAACATATATGTGGCAGGTTCTGGAATATCTGAGCAAATTGAAGTTGTCCATAATCTTTTGGCAAAGAATGCTCATGTAAGAATGTGATGTTTTTGTAATGAATTTTTGTATTGTAATTATCTCTAGATTTTAGAGCTTTTTTTTTTCTATGAATGTGTAATGTTTGTGAATTATTTTTATTTAAAATATAGTGGTTTTTTTTCAGCTCTTCCTTGACGCAAGAGATGTTGGAAAATACTTTGATAGTTTAGAGGATCATTACGGTACCTCTTTATACATTGTCTCTCATGGACCTCATGAGACTTTCGGAGTAGCGTTTATTGGAAATAAGAAAGACAAGTATAGGTTTGATGACGATTTTGAATATGACTATGATGCCATGGGTGTCAGGGAAGAGGCTATTTATGTGCTTATTACTCCATTTGTTCGTTTCGTTTGCTTTCAGTGCCGAAGGTGTCATGTTTTTTCGTAATGCGGTTTGAGCCGCTGCTTCTCAACATGCTGGTTGTGGTGGTCATGTTACTTTTAAGATCACAGTCCTCCATTTTATTTTTGTATTTGAGATTTTTTAATGATTATGATTTAAAACTTCTGTAGGTTCTTTGCAGTTCAGTATGTGGGAAAGGTGTTGTTAATGAGTACCTTCCACACGGAGAAAGTACCAATATCTATAATTCAAATGAAACCGTGTACGACTTGGAAAATCCCGAGACTTATCAACAGCTTGATGGAGAGATTGTCCCTTATATTCTTGGTACCTATGTATATGTTAGTAATTTTTAAATACTCTATAGCTTGTTAGAACGTCTCTTATTCTTCTCAATCAAAGCTGATCTCTATTTCTTTTGCTTTCTTTAGAACATTTGATTCTATTTTCGACTATTTCTTCTATTCTGTTCTTACTCTTATCCTTGTCTACCATAATTTCCTTTTGAGAATCTTAAAATCACTTTTGCACTTTGGAACTGATGGGGTGGTGTCTAAGTATATTTGTGATGGTGCGTTCAGGTTGTACTTACGTGCTTTTTGAGTTGTCCTCCTAGTTTTCTCTTATCTTTTATTATGTATACATAACTTTGTTTGCAAAAATGCATTTTTGAAGTTTTATTGTATGAATATTATGCATACTGAACTATTTCCTGCATTATTGTTTCTTGTCATTTGTATTTCTCTTTATAATTTTACTTATAGTTGGGCTTCATTATGGGAACTTTACGCTTGCATATGAATAAAGTAATATTGTTATGAGGATTTCTAACATTTGTTTATATGCAATTTTGCTGAAGTAAAGGGTTCCTTCTTGTGAAGATGGTGATGGAGGAACTGTTTCAGTTTGGTATCGTGAGTCTTTTTTTTAGAAAAGATTTGATATTGAATGAGAGATTTAATTAATTCCATATGTACTTTTAACATTTGTAGTCATTTTTGCTCTATCAATAAACTGAAGTCTTTGAGAAATGTTAAGTCTATCATTTAGGGGGTGATTGTTTATGGATTCAACTAGTTTTTATTTGGTTTGTTTTTAACTATAGTTAATTTTGGAAAAAAGAGGTATGGTTAGTTGTTAGTGGATATATATAAATAATATTTAAATAAAATAATTAAAGTTGATTTGATGTAAAGTAGGAGAAAAATGATTGGAAGTGATGGTTAGTTAAAATTATGTGAGTGGATGAATAGTGAATTAAAGTTGATTTGATATGTAAGAATGATTGGTTGATATTATTTAATTATATTGGTAATATTGAAGATAGTGGGATTGAGTTAAAGTTGAGTTAAATTTGAGTTTTGATTGGATTTTTTACTATTCAATTTATATCCAATCGCCCCCTTATCTATCCAAGTCTAATTTCCCTCTCAGTTTGGTGGCCTGTGATAATTATGAATAACTTTTTGCTCTTCACTATCTGATGGTAATTACGCAATAACTTTTTGTTCTGAACAATAACTTTCACCCTGCAGTGTTCCACTCGCTAATTTTAATGTTATTGCATAGTCTCAATTAGTCGATGATTTTTATCATTTTTTTGAATTGTGAAATTAAATTGTCAAGAAGTTCACTCAAGTTATTCTCTTTCTCTTTTCAACCAATCTGCAGCAAAAGTCAAAACCATTTAATTGCACAAAAAAACTAATTTCACTAGTAAGCAAACCTGTAATGTCATATTATAACCTCAGATCTCCTAGCCAAACATTTTATCTATTTGCCACACCACGTAGCCTAAGGCAAGTTCAATCCAATTGTATTCAACATTACAACCAACACAGGCAAACACAGAAATGTCTAAATCACCAATAGACACATGCAATTATTATGCTTAATTTTATATAATTTTTTTGTTGCCGGACATTCAAGGAAAGCAATCAGATTATGAGGGTTGAGCCTCAAAATACAACTACTAAGCATGCCAAAGCAACAGTTTATAATATGATGATTACAGGTTGTATGCAAGCTATTTGCAGATAATGATTTTCGTTGTTGCTTGACAATGACTTTTCTTCTATATCTTTAAAATTTCCTCACCAATTTCCAGTAGTAAGTTTCACTCTCTGTCTTTCAATTTTTTTTTTTCTTATCCTTATTTGTCTCAAAGTTCAAGTGGTAGAGGTAGGTACCTCATGTTCTGCATCCTCCTTGTAAAATTGAATGCACCCGCGGCACATCCTTTGGATCGCAGCACTAACCGTTGCGTCATCTCCTTTGAATTTATGAGGTAAAATTGGTGTTATGAAGATATCACATTGAGGAGCATGGTCATGGGTGATGCCAAACCCTGACAGAACAAAATTTAAAGAGTAGGAAACCCCCCGTCCCCAAATCAAATCAATAAGGGAATCAATAGAAGAATAGGAATAATTGAGTAATGAAAATAATTATAACTAACCTGGCTGTCGTGCATCACCTTGTAGTAATCCTCCCATTGATCAAGTTCCAAGTTCAACTTAGCATCATCCAGCCAAGGCAGTGAAGGTGAGCTCAATTCTTCTGATTGGCAACGTAGACTGTGATTGCCTCTACGGCCTCTATGTCCTCTTGGTTATTGGCGCAATTCTTTTCTTCCTCGCAGATTCCCCGTCCTCTGCTTCCTTACGCGCTGCGACCACCATTGAATCCCAATTCCCGGTGATGAGCGGGAACCTTGTAGAGGTCGAAAAAACAGGTAGAATCTTCGTCTCCGGTTTCAGAACTTCCGCCGCCGCCGCCTCCTCCCCGGAAAGGGACTGAATTGCAGATCCTGACCCATTGCCCCTCAACCTCAAAACAACCAGTGTTCTCCATCAAAACACAACCAGTGACCTTGAATTTGCAACTACGGAATTGACGTTTATGCCGTTTTTTCGTGGACAACCAAACTGAGAGTATATATAATTAGTGAAGCTAGGTCCCGTCTTGGTGTCAAGATCTGTGTTATTCAGACCGGAAATGAAAGGCAAATCTGACAAGAAGATCGGAATTCCACCGGAAACGGCGAACTCGGAACTCCTTTAATTGAGAGAGAACAAGAAATGGTTCTTGAATGGGGGGTGAGAATAGGAAAGAGAGAAAGATCACTGTGAATCAATAAATCTGGTCAGATTTGGGAAGAAGTACGGATGATATTGCTGGTAATATAGATGATTTTGTATTTGTTGGATTGGTGATGAGAAATATCAAGGAGATTCAAAATTTGATGAACCCCGTGATGAGAGGAGGTGATGGAGTTCTTTTCTGGGTAAATTTTCCCGCCTCAACACTGACTTATTCTCTTTGTTCGTATGTGTAATTGGGAAGTTGTAATTCATGAAGTTGAATTTGGTCCAGAAAAACACTAATTTTGATTAAAGATTGATGCTTTTTCTTGATTCCCTGTGTTTTTGTTTGATGTCTGGAGTAGATTTATGATGCCCAATTGAGATTCTTTGATAACAAGCCGATCCTGGACGGTCTGATATTTCATCGATTACTTTGGTAAAATTCTTGCTCAGATAGTTTTTTGCTCTACGTCTAGCCAATGTAGATTTTACTATGTAGCCCCAACTCAATTCGTTTACTGAGGGTTCCTTTTGTCTTTTGTGCTGCCCCTGTACTTCATGTGATACTTCTATGGTACACTGTGTAAGTTCTACCGTATGTGTAGTTAATAAGTGCTCTTAAATTGTGAGAAAGAATTCATAATGAGTTGAAGATTATACTGTGTAGATGAGGAAATGGGCAGCTTGGGAAGAAGAAACAACATCTCTACAGTACCACTTTACAACCGGTAATCAAAATTTGATCCAAGGTTACATATTCTCTAGAGTAGATTGCATTTTTATTTGACTTTCAAGGTAATTAAGATTTATTTTTTTGCAACAGGGTATTTTATGTCAGGAAGCTACTACAATAAATCAAACAATTCATATACATCTTATAAAGCTCGGTCATTTTCTTCATTGAACTCATTAAAGATACACATTTTCCCTGCATATTCATTCCATAACTCTCAGTAAATTGAATAAACTATCTATATATAGTAAGTGATCAACCAAGGTATTAATTATATACTCCCTCCGTCCCATAATTATTGTCCAGTTTGAGCTTTCATTTCTAGTTGAAATTGTACTAAAAATGAAATTTAAAACTGGACAACAATTTTGGGACAGAGGGAGTAGTATTTTTTTTTTTCATTATATTGCAGGAAGGAACTTGGTTACGGGATGACGGCCTGCAAAAAGAACTTAATTAAGGTTGTTTCAACAGATCAACCTTCAGGTGGGTTGCAAAGTCTTTCTTGCAAAGTACTTGCATTTTATGTGTAGATTTATTTTCTGATGGATGTCCTTTATGCAAAGTTTGAAGTGTTGGTATTTTCTTTTATAGAAAATGAATGAAAAATTAGGAAAAGAATAGATAGATAACCGTTAATCTATAGACGTTACATGAATTGCTTAGATATTGCATGGTTTTCTTTGTTGGGTTGCAGCATGCGCAGTGGTGTATGGAGAAGCCAATGGTGGAAAAAACAATGAATATTTGTTGAAGAGCAAATTTGTTGTTTTGGAACCCCTTTTCATGCGATGCATGCGCCTAACCGTTTGAGAAGCTAGAACAAACAATCTTCATTACAAAAAAAATTAAAAATCGAAGAAGAATGTAAATAAACCAATCTTATGAGCATATTGTGTTTTCATTGTGTTTGAATTTATACGACACATTTGTTGTTTTCAGGAAATGTGGTAGATGTTAAGCAACACTGTGGTCTAATGGTGTCCAAATCTGAAATGGTACTTCCTGTTGTCACTGTTCCTGCTTCTAAGTTCCGCACAGAGAATGGTGTGATTTGGGCATCATCTCCAGACCGTCTTGAGCTTCCACATAAAGCATTCCACCATCCGTATAGCTGTGACTCTCAAACTGTCTTCCAATCTTTAGTACTCCCTCCGTCCTATAATTATTGTCCAGTTTGAGTTTTGATTTCTAGATCAAATTGTACTAAAAGTGAAATCTCAAACTGGACAATAATTTTGGGACAGAGGGAGTAATAGAGAAGTTCTTCAAAAGTTGTCACAACAGCTGAAGGGAAGAGATGATATGATCATTGAGATGGAAGATCAGATACTGAATTGCATATACTAAGAGCATATGCAAGATCAGTTTTATCGGGTTAAAGGTTGGAGCAGCATATACTAAGTGGATTAGACAGAATTATGATATTTTTCTCTCCATAATTTTGCTTTTAAGATAGGAATACAATTATTTCATGTAGATATTTGCTATTCAATATATATTCCAACAAGTAAAATGATTAAACTATGTAAGTAGACCTGGTTTAAGAAGAACCGCTAAAGGGTATCAGTCTTTGTGTCAAAAGGGTATTAGTCTCTGTAACAAAACTCGGTAGTTTTTTCTTCCTTCACTCTTATTATATAGAAGCTTCAAATAAACTCGGTAGTTTTTTCTTCCTTCACTCTTATTATATAGAAGCTTCAAATTTGCATCTGCATGCGATAGATTGCTGTGAATTGCTCGAGTTCAATTTAGTTGAAAAAAGAACCAATTTGAAGAAACAGCTTGTAAATGAGATCTCACTCTTGAGATCATTACGTTATATGTTGGTTGCTCACTTAAGAACGAGCTCAGATTGAACTGCCTGCACAACTTCCATCTTTATATCAGAGCCTGCATTTTGTAGCAAATAAAATAGATGTCCCACCAACTTTCTAAAAGCCAAATACAGACTCTGAGCATCCACTCCCGCAATCTTTCTGACAGTGCGAGTTGCAGCCATTTGCACTGAAGGCAATGGATTTCTGAAAGATTACAATTGTTTTTATATCAGAAATCAGTTGAGAAGACAGTAACGAAAAAACTAAATAGACAGAAAATGAAACCTACAAAAGCAGCTCCACAAGTCTTGGATAGACACATGGGGAGTGGCTTTGTTTTCCCTTTGGGAAAGTGTTGTGTGTAGTGTGTTTAGTCTAGCTTGTCTGGCTCGGGATGGATTCCCTCGTAGGAGCCTTCTTTTCCTTTGCGTTTAGGGTGTTAAATGCAAAGGTGCTAAATATTGCCAGTGGGCAATCAGTTGTAATGTTTTAGAGATTTTTATATTATCTATCGTTTTACCAAAAAAAAAAAGTCTTGGATAGACACCAGCCTCAATCACTGATCCCGTTTTGAACTGTAGGAAAGAAATGACAGAGCCCAGCATGCACATGAGAGAACTTGCTGGTCATCCGAATAAACAAGAATCTGAGGCACTGGAAGGGCTAAAGGCACCTGAAAAATAAGCCTGAGCAATAGAAAAAAAAGGAAGTTGGAAAACAAAAGGGAAAAGTATACGATCATACAGCTAATCAACCTTGATCGAATGGAGGTTGAGGTTTGCCCCGACACGTTTAACAGTGTCTATGCCGCCACTCTTAGCATTAAAATAGTTGCATGCTCATTAAATTGTGCCAGCAGTGGAACCAAAGCTTCTTGACTCAAAACAACATAGCGATATGTAGGAGAGCAACCAACAATGTTTCCTAATGCAAATACAACCTAAATATTTTAAAAAATAACCTCCCACAGCGAAAACATTCAAAATTTTTAGCCTGTATCTGCAGTACTGAACAAGCGGCAAGGAAAAACATACCGGCAGGCGAAGATAAGCACTAGGGGGAATGCAAGAGTTTTACTAAAATCAACACAACATGGTCATCAATCCACCCTCTTATTTGTTCAGGTGTCCCAAACGTAATGATTGCAAGAGCTGAGATAGCTTCCAACTAGTTGAACATAAAAAATTCAAGTTAGAGACAACTCTAATGGCAGAACAATTTCATAAAATAGACAAATTCGACAGATGTAACATCAAAGCTTCTGTTCATCATTTTCCTCAAGTGTTGACTGAAGATAGGAGGAGGGAGGTAGTTGCAGAAGCTTATCAACCAACACAACGCTTTCACTTTCTGTAAATTTGGGTTTGATCATAACTAATGTATGTTCATCACGAGGGGCAGAGGCTTGAGAAGCAAAGCAGGTAAAAATTTTAACTGGCAAACATATGTCTGTTAGTCCTGGATCGCTCTTCCCGGCACAAACGGACACTTTTAGGATAGAAGAAGAAGATTTTGAACAACTCAATGTATTGAGTTTTCAGTGTTTCTGTGTGATTACAAATAAAACTGCATCTCTATTTATAAGAACTAAAAGCAACTATCGTAGTGGCTTTCCTAGAAAATACATAAGTTGAAAAATCAACCAAAAGTGGCTGCCATGAAAGTGCTATGCAGCTGCAATGAAAATGCAATGAAAGTGCAAGGAAGTTGCACTGTAGAACAAGAAAACTGCATGGATTATATGTTACAATTCTTCCCCTAATCCTGCTGCTTTTGCTTGTTTACCATCATTCCAATCTTGGTCCTAAGCTCCATGAACCGAAGACGGCTGAGTGGCTTGGTAAGGATGTCTGCGAGCTACCGTTCTGATTCGACAAACTCCAAAACAATCTGTCCTTCATCGATACAATCACGGATGAAGTGAAAACAGGTATCGATGTGCTTCCGGTCATGGAGGACTGGATTTTTTGCAAGGGCAATGGCGGGCTGGTTGTGCACCATCAGAGCTGGTGGACGAGCTTCCTCGCCGGTCAGCTCTCCTAGCAACCGACGCAGCCAGACCGCCTGGCACGCCGCTGTGGCTGCCGCCACGTACTCCACCTCGCATGTAGACAACGCCACGATCTTCTGTTTCAGCGACTGTCATGAGATTGGGGTCGATCCAAGGAAGACGAGCACACCGGAGGTGCTCTTCCGCCCATCAATGTCGCTTGCCATGGATGCATCGCTGAAAACCGTGAGCCGCAGCCCACTTCTGCCGCCGGTCTTGGGGAAGATGATGCCCACAACAGCCGCTTTACCGTAGCCCAATGATCCTCTCGGGGGTCCTCCATGAAGCGACTGACATATCCCACAACGAATGCGATATCTGGCCTCGTGGGACTAGGTAGCGCAGCCCACTGACGATACTCCGGTAGAGTGTTGCATTTATTCTCCCCGCGGTGGTGGCTTTCGTTAGCTTCAGCCGCTCCTCCATCGGAGTCGCGCATGACTTGCAGTCAGCCATGCCGCTCCACTCCAACAGCTTCCCCGCATACGCACGCTGGCAGAGAGTGATGGAGTCTCTCTCCTACTTCACCTCGATGCCGAGATAGTATGAGAGCTGCCCGAGATCGCTTATGCAAAAGCGCTTGAAGCCGTTGATGTCCTCTTCTCGTGCCCCGGTGATGATCAAGTCATCCACATACACGCCGACGACGAGCTCCTTCTTCCCCCGTCGTCGTGTGTAGAGCGCCTGTTCTGTTGTGCAGCGCGTGAACACAAGCGTACCCAGAGTGGCATCGAGCTTGGCGCTCCACGCTCGCGGGGCTTGTTGCAGCCCATAGAGTGCCTTCCGTAGCCGCAGCACCTTGTGCTCCTTTCCCTTGACGACGAAGCTTAGGGCTTGCTTGACGAAAACAGTCTCCGCTAGCTCGCTGTTGAGGAAGGCCGATTTCATGTCCAGGTGATGAATGCGTCAGTCCTTCGCTGCCGCGATGGCCAGCAGTAGGCAACTGACTCCATGCGCGCCACTGGTGCAAAAACTTCCTCAAAGTCGATGCCTTCACGCTGGACGAAACCGCGAGCAACGAGGCACGCCTTGTGATTGACTATGGCGCCACACTCGTCCCGCTTGACCTTGTAGGCCCATTTGAGCCCTATTGGATGACAGCCTGGAGGTGGATCGACGAGCTCCCACGTCTCATTTTCCCCGATCACCTTCATCTCCTCTAGCATAGCTCGTCTTCAATTGACATCGCGCTCGGCCTGCACGAAAGTCGATGGCTCTTCTGCGCTGATGAGAAGCAGCTCCTGATCGTCGAGTAATCGGCTTGCCAAGCCTGGTACAGCCGAGTTGCCAACGAGGTTTTCCATCCTACGAAACATCACCCCCTCGCCATCGTGGAAGGCATCCACATACTCGTCGATGTCGCTTGGAGGAGAGGCGAACTCAAACTGTCGTTGCTGGAGGTGTCCCCTGTCCTGCTGTGGCAGGGGATTGTGGGGGGAGGGGGCGTGTGCGCAGCCGCTGGTGAAGACTCTTCGCCCGTGCCCGCCATGGCCAGACTTTGCGGCTCATCCAACGCTGCCACAACTGCTGGACTTGGAGCGTCCGCAGATGGATCCTTTACTCCCGCATCTCCTCCTCCGTGGATCACCAAATGCTCGATGATGAATGTACCGCCGACGCCACGAGCTTCCCCCGTGCCAGGATTCTCTCAATCCCAGGCCGCCATTTCGTCGAACACCACATCCCGCGAAACTACCACCTTGCCTCCACGCGGATCGTAGAGCCGATAGGCCTTGCTCCCCTCCTCGTAGCCTAGGAACACCATCGGTATGCTCCTATCCTCAAGCTTGGACAGGAAGGGCTTCGTCTTCTTCACATGGCCAGTGCACCCAAACTTAGAAACATGACGTCGAACTGCCTACCATGCCAAGCTTCGAATGGCGTTATGCCCTTCATGGCCTTCATGGGTGCACGGTTGAGGATGAACACCGCCGTGCTCACAGCCTCTCCCCAGAACTCCGCTGGCATGCCCTTTGCCTTCATCATGCTTCGGGCCATGCCCATCACGGTCTGATTCTGCCGCTCCACTACGTCATTTTGTTGTAGTGAGTACAGCGCAGTGTGATGGCGCACCACCCCCTGGTCTACACAGTACGCGGAGAATTCCACCGATGTGAACTCGCCACCGCGATCCGTCCTCAGCACGCGCAGCCGCTTTCCGGACTCTACCTCAGCTCGCGCCTGGAACCACTTGATTGCCTCCGTCGCCTGATCCTTACTCGTCAGGAGCTGCAGCCACATGAAATGGCTAGAGTTGTCCACGAGCAGCAGAAAGTAGCACCGTCCGCCGTGCGTAGCTGGCGTGATCGGACCGCAGAGGTTGCCGTGGACGAGCTCGAGGACGTTCGCCGCACGATACTTAGCTGCCTTTTGGAAGGGCAGCCGCCTCTGCTTCCCTGTCAGGCAGCTTTCGTAAAGCTCGCCTGCGTGCTCGATGTGCGGGATCCCACGCACCATCTTTCTCAGCCGGCCGAGTGCGTCGAAGTTCAAATGGCCGAACCGAGCATGCCATAGCCATGGCACCTCGGTGTGCCGTACAGCCAAACACACTGGCTTCTCCACCTTCAAGTCGAGAAGGTAGAGGCGATTTCGGGAAAGCTGGACCAGAGCCGGCAGCCGTTGTTCTCGGTCCCTGAGTTTTAGCACGCCGTCTTTGACAAGCACCTCGCAGCCGTGCTCGTCCAGTTGCCCGATGCTGACGATGCTTGAACGCAACTGCGGAATATAGTACACATCCGTCAATGCGTGGTGCTCGCCGTTCTGGCACCGGAAGATGACGGTGCCGCGACCTCGAATCTCCACCTTCGAGCCATCGCCGAACTTCACCGTCCCCGTCATACCGTCATCAAGCTCAGAGAAGGCCTACTTGGAGCCGGTCATGTGGTTGCTGGCACCGGAGTCTAGGTACCACCTCTATTCCATGCCACCGCCCATTCATCCAAGTTGGACTTGGGCACTTGACTCATCGAGGTGAACGGCCTGCAGTGCCTTCCCTTGCTCCGCAGCCGCCACATTGACTTTCTCCAACTCTGGCTCAATGTTGTGCAGCGTGCAGAACTTTGCCATAAGAAGAGATGGCTCCTCGTCGTCCACTTGCGCGAGGTGCACTTCCTTCTTCTCCTTCTTGAGATTCTTGCAATCTCGGGCCCAGTGCCCTGTCTTCCCGCAGCGTCGATAAGTGTTCTTGTCGATCGGACGCGCGTTGTCGCCGTCCTTCTTCTTCTTCTGCGGGGCCTTTCCACAATGCATGCCGTAGCCGCCACGACTTGAGGAGCCTTCCCTGGGCCGCCGTTTGCGCATACGAGTCGCCCATTCTTCCTCTATCAGCAGTAACTTGCCACTGGTAGTTATCATCGCCGTCTCCACGCGGTCATCCACCGCCTGCAAATGCCCAGTCACATCCTCAATCGTGTGTGTGGACATGTCGATTAACGTCTCGATGGAGAGCGCGATCTGGGAGTACTTAGGCGGCACGATGCGCAAGTATTTCGCGACCGCCTCCTCATCGGTGATGGAGACGCCGTGCGCCGCCAGCTGACTGACGAGCCACTGCAGACGGAGCGAGAAATCCTCCACTGCCTCGCCGTCGCGGAACGCCAGCGCCTCATACTCCCGCAGCAGCTGTTGCACCTTCGCCTTCTTTGCGCAATCAGACCCAATGCGCATGGCCTTGAGGGCATCCCAAGCAGCCTTGGCGGAGTGCTTTGCACCTAGCAACTCCACGTAATTGTGAGGCACAGCGGACAAAATCGATTCCATCGCTGCGCAATCCTCTTCTTCATCCTCGGTGCCTTCTTCGATGGCCCGCCAAAGCTTGCGCGCACGCAACTTGACCTTCATCAGCACTGCCTACTCGCCGTAGTTTGTGCGTGTGAGGACTGGCCAGTTGGCCCCTCCAACGTCCCGCACGGTCCTGTGGATGGTGACCTCTTGGTGCGGTGAAGCATCTGCTCCACTCCCTTGCACTGTCGACGTAGTATCTTAGCTTGCCATGGCTCTTGATACCATTTGTTAGTCCTGGATCGCTCTTCTAGGCACAAACGGACACTTTTAGGATAGAAGAAGAAGATTTTGAACAACTCAATGTATTGAGTGTTCAGTGTTTCTGTGTGACTACAAATAAAACTGCATCCCTATTTATAAGAACTAAAAGCAACTATCCTAGTGGCTTTCCTGGAAAATACATAAGTTGAAAAATCAACCTAAAGTGGCTGCCATGAAAGTGCTATGCAACTGCAATGAAAATGCAATGAAAGTGCAAGGAAATTGCACTGTAGAACAATGAAACTGAATGGATTATATCTTACAATGTTAACTAAATGGCTCAATGCTATCTTACATTGCTCGAACTGCAATTGGACAATTGGACAAACATTGTCCTATTACATCAGTAAACACTCAAAAAAATATTGTAAACAGACAGAACAAAACTTGCTACATCAACCCAGTAAACTATGTCTAAAACTTGAATCTAACATTCAAAGGTCGAAGACTCTTCCAATAATCCATCCCCTAAATCTAAATCATATACTAAGTCAATAAATAAGATGGCCCCAAACCCACATAACCAAAAGAAAGGAAGGAGTAAAAAAAACAAAAAAACCAAAACCGAAAAGAAAACGGGAAGAAAAGAAAAATGACAAACATGCAGCAAAACAAAGGGCATAACTGGAAAAAATTAATGAAAAGGAGACGAATCCAACGAACCCTAGTAAATCATGGGATAGATTAATGGGGAAGACAAATATCAACCATCCACAGCAAGGCAGGCTCAACCAAGACAAGGGGGAAAAGTTAAAAATGTACCAGGCCAATGGGCTCTTGCCACCGGCGGTGGCGAAACTACATGTATCACTATGGGGCAATTGACCTCTCTCAAATTTTAAGTTATTTTACTATTATAATTAAAAATTTAAATTTACCCCCTCTTAAATTTTTTTTTGCACTCCCAAATTTTTTGTCATGTCTTTTGTCCCTTCTCAATTAATTTCTTGGTTTCGCCCCTGGCCACCGATATCCCTCATCATCATCGGAGTCCGTCGACCGAAAATCGTCGGTTTCGTTCAGAAGCAACGACATCGTTTCCCACTTGATGCCTTCCAATACGATCGAAAAACCCTAAAAGTCAAAATAGACTCCTGCAACAAAAAGTCATAACTGAAGCGTGGTAATGGAAAGAAGATTAAACTGCCGAACGAAACGTACAAGGGAAGAATTGAGCGTTGCTCATAGTTAGGGTTACCCTGTGTGAGTTGAGAGTGCGGTTTGTACAATTTGAACTAAAAATGAAAACTCAAACTAGACAATAACAATGGGATGGAGGGAGTAGCATTTTTGTGATCCATGCATTATTACCATAATGTCAAAGAATATCTTAAATCAACAACAGACATGAAAAAGCTCAAAGGTTTTGGATCATGTGTAACTTTCTAGCCTAGTTATGGAAAGCCAACACGACATCAAGTTCGCTCTGTCAACTTTCATTATCGATCATTGAATGTCTGGCGCGCGCGACAATGTACAAAATTACCTATTTTAATTTTATTAGAAAAAAACAAATTTTAATCTTCGTTGAATTTTCCATCGGATTCACTAATAAATAGACCAAATTCTTTATCCAGATTAAACTTGATGAATATTTCATCGAGGAATATTTCAAAGCAACAATAGACATTATAAAACTTAATAAAGATTAAAATTTTCAACAGATTTTTGGATCACGTCTAGTTGTTAGTCCGGGTATGGAAATAAGTGACCAAGTAAAAAATACTGCCCCATGGAATGTATACTTATATAAAAAGTTATCCCATCTATATATATATAAAGAGGAGCAACATATCATTTAATTATATTATCATGCATTAAATTTTATTATCCCTCCAAAATTTTCAACATTCAATTTCATTTTTAAAGTTACAAAATAATTTGCTTGAACGCCATAAATTATGAGCATAAGCCAATCAAGGGAGTTATAAAATTGTACTCAAATTTTAAGTCACACCCACTCATGAAAATGACCGAATGTATTAGCATAACGAATGTGGTTGTAACGGCTCTTCCATAGCAATTACTTGATCAAAATCAATTTTGAGAATTATTTTCTTAATTCATATTTTTTTCAGGAATTAAATTATGATTTATTTTTTTTTTATATTGTTATCTTTTTAAAGTATTCTTCTCTGTGCAAATGCACATGTTGATTACTAGATTACTAGAATTAGTAAGGTGATCGTTAGTACGAATGCCTGATTTTTAAAGGAATACTAAGTAATAAACAACAAAGCCCATTTGTAGAATTGTTTTGAGGAAAGATAAAGGTGAATGTTCAACTTTGTTACCAAGAATACAAATGTGATACCGCAATAAAGACTGCAACACGTATTTTGTGCTATACACTTTTGCAGAGGGAACCTCGTTATAGTGGGAGGGTTGCAAAACAACTCCATGAAATCGTGACAATGAGAGAGTCATTGGACTCGGTCTCTAGTAAACACGAGATCATAATATTCATGTTTTGATTAGTCTCTAGTAAACTTGAATTCATACCTAGTTATACAATGAGTAGATCTAAGACAAAGATGTAGAAACTTAGCGAAGTTTTAATGATTTCTGATTTGGAGTCGTGGACTCTAATCAGATCTGGGTTCTTATAGAACTACCTAGTAGCATATGGGCTATCAGACGAAATCTATAAGTGAAAACTTTAGTACAGGGCTTGTTGTGAAATAACAAACTCAGAAAGAATGGTGTCTATTATGAGTAAGCTTTTCCACCAGTAGCCATGTTTAAGTATGTACAAATGTAAGGCTTGTTGTGATATAGAAGACTCAGAAAGAATGACATCTCTTATGAGTTAGTCTTTTCACAAGTAGCCAAATTTAAAGCTGTTGCCACTCATATGCGTTATGAGATTAGGCAAAGTGGATGTCAAGATATTTTCCTTAACCGGGAGTCTTGTGGGAATATCCATGAGCAGCACCCAGGAGTGTTCATTAGAAAAAGGCTAAGAGCGTCTTGTCACTAGACTGATACAGCTCATTTATGGATTATAATGAGCTGGTCATTTGGTTGATAAGTTCGAATCGTGGATTCAATTATTCAACAAATGAGCATCGTAAGTGGCGCAATGGAAGCGTGGTGGAATTTTGTACTATGTGTTGACAACATCCTGATCACTGGAGACAGTGTGAGATTGTTGAAAGACACAAGGGTATGGTTATCCAAGAAGTTGGATATGAAGGATTCGGAATCAACAAATGTTCTTGAGATTGAGGATCACAAGAAAGATATGTTGTGATTATCCCGAATTTCATTATCCAGATACTATCATAAGGCTCATTCGAAATTTGCATGACACAAAGGCGGTTCCTTGTCTTCGGCAAAAGGAAGCCTAGTATGTGCCATGTGGTAAATGAGACTTGATGTCTATTATTGCCTAGGGCATAATGAGTAAATATCGAAGTAATCCTAGACAGGAGCAATTGGTTCAAGGTAGAACATATGATCAAGTTCCGTAAAAGGGCTAAAGATAATAAGTAGGGTTACCAAACGAGCCATAAGCAACCTATGGGTTACAAAAGATTCTGATTTCTAATCAGGACATGAACAAACAAGTAAAAGCCACCTTATGGTTTGTGTTCACTTGTGGGAGCCAAGCAGAATGGAGGAATATCATACGGTAATACGTTAAAAATTCCACCATAAGAAACTCAGTACGTTCCTTCCCAAAAGGCGAGCGACGTAGAGATTGGATTCGCCGTTGAACTAAACATGTGAAACCTTGTCAGACCAAGTCAGGTCACAATTGATTGTGATGATAATTGGTGCAGTTAAGACAGGAGGAATCACTAGTTCATAAAGCAAGTGGCACATAGAGCAAGTACGCCCATTGCAAAGGACTGCGACAGGGTGGATGTTTGTCGCCTAGTTACATCGTTAGACAACCAAGTGAATCCTTTTAGGATTGGCTTTCCGGCGAAAGCGGATGATGGCCATGGTAAAGGATTGGGAGTCGGATGTACGGCAGAAAGGACAACAGTTCCTTGAGAATTAGATTGAAAGAAAATTGTGGTTAATGATATCCATGAGCTTATTAAGCATAAGTGGGAGATTGTTAGATATGCTGTAAAAGCTTGGCGTTCAGATATGAACAATTCCATTTTGATCTGGCAATCATATTTCGGTCAAAGTACATATGCTTGCAGTTTATTTATTTATGCAATCGTACTCTTTGTCTTACATTGAGATAGTGTGGTTCGTGGTGTCTCGAACAGAAAGGTCACCTATCGGTTCCTTGTAAGACTAAATTATTTGTTCACAGTCTAGACTGGCAGTGAGACCCCACTTGGAAAAAGATTGTAGTGTATTCTTGATTCAGTTGATCTTTGACTGGAGAACTACACTAGTACTTATGTTAAGTATTGAACAGAACAAGGACGGATAAGATTATGAGAATCACTGACCGTTGTTGTAATCTAGACCTTCAGTGATTGATGTGTTCTCTAAAGCTGTAAGATAATATAAAATAGGCATATATATTTATTACTTATTTATTTGATTTACCAAGGGTGATTCCTATTCTGTTAGGATGATGTTTGTCCCATTTTTGCTGCGTTTTTCGTTATCTTTTTGTCTTTCTTTTTCCCCCATTTTAGGTTGTTTAGATGAGTTTTAGTTCATTTTATAGTTTATTTCGTGTTTGCTCTCTTCTTAGTCTTTAGTGTGTTTTCCGTGTGTTTTTTCGGTTTTCCTTTGTTTATGGTGTGTAGGTCGGAAGCCTCGGGAGGACCAGATTTTAGGCAAAAATTAGTCGGGCAAGCGTAATTAGATAGAGGAGTTCGTTGGGAACACACAGGAAAAAATGGAACTCAATTCTGATACCAGACGAGCCCGAACGACTCCAAAATGTGAAGTAGTGCGAGCTGTCCAGGCCCCGAGCGCCTGCCGCGCCGCGGAGCATCCATTCACCGCGCCGCGAAGCACTGCTGTGCCGCAGAGCCCCCATTCACCACGCCTCGCCATTGCCACGACATGGGCTGCAGCTCCCACGCATCCCAGGCCCCGCGCCGTGCCAAACTGCCGCGCCGCGGCACACGCCCTCCTCGCGCCGTGCTCGGATTTTCCATGCCGTATCACCTAATCTTATATATATATATATATGTACGGGACTTCGACAGAAGATAATTCTCCCCCTCCTGGGGACGAACTCTAGGCCAGTAAAAACACCACAGAACTCATTTCTTCTCCTTTCCTTCCTCGTTTTCTTCGTTCTTTTCACTTTTGTTTTCCATTTTTCTTCTTCTTCTTCTTAGTTATCAAGGATTAAGCTTCGTACTTTGGGATTCAACACTTGGACTAAAATAAATTGTAAGTTTCTTTTCTCTTTGAATTAATTCATGAATAATGATTGATTTGGGAGAGATGATTATTGGTGTTGAATTTATTTTACGTAGCTAATTCTTATTGCTAGGGATAGGGGATGATTGTTCTTGTTTAACGTGTATTTGTCAGGCTCAAGATTGTTCATGCTTATGTGAGTTGATTGAATTCAGAATTGATGAAATTATGCTTGATAGTTTGATGTAATCGAAGGGTGACACTTCGATCTTGCAATTGGTAACAATTGGATATTGAGTTGTCGAGTTTGGTTTTGTTAATTTCAATGATTAGTTGATTAAGCACCTTCTAATTAAATTAGCGACTTTCTGAACCAAAAGGGGCGAAGTCGTAGACCTAGGCTTGCATGAGATAGATTATTTCGTAACTGATTCATTTATGGGTTGAGATTGAAATACGTGCTTGTCGATGACCCGTCCCTTGTTACAAAAGTTATTGGGATTGGGATAATTGGCCTGTGTTGTACGCCCAAGCTTGTTCGTCTATGTAAATCCCTTGTTACGATGAGTTATTGGGAGCGAACCTCTAGATGTTTAAGCGAGAGTGTCAATCTCGAACCGAACGATTAATTGCCCGGCTTTGCTAGAACTTGAATTAATTATCCCCGATTCCCTAGTTTCTCCATCTTTGTTTCGTTTATATTTTAGGTAGATTATTGTTTTATTTTATTTCTTAGTTAATAATTCATCCAAACTGCTATCTGATTAGAGTGTTTAGGATTTATTTTCTTTTTCTGTGTAATCAATACCAAAGTTAAATCCGAACCGCCTTCCTCGTGAGATCGACCCGGGGAACGAATCTTTCAGTTTGATACTCGGTAAAAATAAAGTAATTTGTATACAACAGATGACGTACTCGGTATTTTGGTAAATAAGAATATTTATATAGTGTGCTATTATAAATTATTTACGGTCACTGTGTCCCAGTGCGCTGGGTTGATGACGTCCCCGAAATGAGCTCAGGAAGGAATATTATGTCAAGCCCTGCAGGCGGATGTGTATCCGACATAATGATTAATGATCTGAGTGGTACTAGTTTCGGAAATGAAGAACAAGTTGATTAATTATTTTGTCAGTAATTTAATTAAT